TACAATAAAAGAAAACACCCTTTGCTCACGAGTTCTGAGTTCGATAGGTGCCTGCAGGACAAGGAGACAGCGAGGCAGGATCTGCAGCTGCAGGGCACGTCCCGAATGCAGAACAGATTCCATGGCACTTTGAGAGGTGATGCGTTTGAGGAAGCAGATAGAGGACGTGCGGCGACGACGGGAGGCCTCATATCTGTGACGCAATTATTCATGCGGAATCTCAACCCCACAGCTAGAGACGTTGCCATTAGCACGTTTGCAGGAGTTGGAGCAGAAGAAGACACTGGCCCGGTCCAGTGAAGAGGGTGATGTGAAGGATGCCCCATGCAATGATATTTTCAACCGGTATGTAGTATGTAGAACTGGTTTTCTGGACTGAGATGTAGATATGTCTGGACCAATATAATGTCATTTGCTGGCAAGGATCCGGACATGCCGCCAGAGGACCCGGACCTCATTGAAATGGGATGGGGAAAGGCGCCGGTCAAGGTCAAGGAGGAGGAGGAGAAAAAACCGGGGACGGAAACAACACCGGTGCTTCCGAAGCCTGCTGAGCAAGGCTACAATCATCGCAAGGCCGCCATGGCTTTGCTTCGGTTGCGGCGGAACCAGAACCGCATGGATAAACTGCCGGAAGCCCTCCGGAACCTCCTCGACACCGATGATGACGCGGCTCGCAAGCTCCTGAAGGACCACGGAGGAAACGTGGACCAGATGATCGAGGCTGCGAATCACATGGTCTTCAAGGAGACTGCAGAGGTTGATACGGAGACGACAACTCCTTTGACCGAGTTTCAGGTGGGTTGCAGATAAGTGTTTGCTTCGTTGCTTGGTCGCTTTCTGCACGCAAGCCCTGAAAGGTGCTGCAGATGTACGGCCCCACCAAGGGAGCCGAAGTGATCAAAGAGAAGAAGGAGCGGGGGGAAACAGTTGAGGACAAAAACCTGGCTGGGAACATCCTCTACCTCGTCGCGAACGACAAGCTGGAGCTCAGCAACAAGTCTGGGCAGCGGCACGAGTGGAGCAAAGGCACCGACAATCGCGCTCCAACACAGGCTCCCTCGTCTTCCTCCGGATCCACACCTACGCCTGCTCCGGCGACTCCGGCCACGAACACACAGCCGGAAGCTCCCAAGGTCGACGAGGCCAAGCCGAAGCCAAAGCCCAACAAGAAGCCCAAAGCCATGACAGCCACAACGCCTGTGGATAGGGCGGAAAGCTTGTGCAACGAGGTTCTGAAGTGCAAAACCGAGGCCAGCAAGCTGTCCACGCAGCTGAAGAGCTTGAGCTACGCAGATCAGCTCGTCAAGGATTTGGAGAAGTACATCGTGAAGTTTGACAGCCTGTATTGCGACATCAGGAAACTGATCCAGCAAAAGATCAACGAAGAACGACCCTACATCGTGCATGTGAAATCCTTTGTCGAGCTTCAAAAAAGTTTCCAAGATGTCAAAGCGAGTGCATCGGCCATGGCGAGAGGGGTGAAAGCGAAGGCGTCCGCCAAGAAGGGTGCCAAGAAGACGACTTCCCCTGGTGAACAAGCTGCCTGAGCATCCGCCTGAAAGTTAACTCTTTCTGCCTCGAGGCACAGTAGGATTTTTGAATGCTGGCTAGCGACAGCTGTTCCGGAGCCACGTTGCGGAAACCATTGGAATGCCAATATGTTTCCTCGGGATGCCTCCTCAGGAGACGACGCCAGATGGATCCAGTCGACAAAAAAGACCGGACATTGCGCAAATGCAGCGACGAGTTTTGCAATTAGAAGTAACCCGAATCTGTTACTGTAGTCAGGGAGGCGCAAGTGCCAACGACTGACAATGTTTGGTTTCTTATCTTAGTCGACGTCGTAGTGGTAGTACTCGTTATTGTTGTTCTAGCTCCAAAGCTCTATGGAT